TCGAATGACGCAGAATCTAATATTTGTTTCGATTCCTCGATGAATCGCTTAAGTGTCCTTCAATCAGGACAGATGTAATGCAATTATCTACGTAGAATGATTCTTTTAAATTTTCTGCTGTTTCAGGATATTTAGATGAATTTAGATCAATGTGATGGTTTAATACAGCAGCCAATAAAAAGGGACTGCAATTCAATCCAAAAACAACGCGTGTATGTCTAAAAACTCTTAAGTTCCTTCTTGTCAAAGTCTTTCCACCATAAAAATCGTAAGAAATCTCGATCACTCTTATTCACTGACATTTGCAAAAAAGGCCTTTCTTATGTCTGAAATAACTGCTATTCTATTCTTGCGAAATCTTAAAATTATAGGAATAATTTGTTCCAGCAAATTTGGACCCTTTTCTAGACAATCATTAAGTGAGCACGAATTTTTGTCTTTACGGGAAGCATCAAATACCGGTCGCAATTTCATGGTCGAAGTTTCTTTTAATATCCCTTTGTGTGGTAAATAGTGACACTGATTATTCATTTCGTGTTCAGGGCCTTCCTCTATAATTCCTTCATTTAACCAATCTGTGAAAACATTTTTGTAATCCTCGAATTTGCCCTTTTGTATCAAACGGTGTGTCGTACTGTTTAGACGCTGTCTAGCAATATCGAAATTTTGACTTAAACAGTCCTTTTCTGTTACCCAAGGCAACTGAATCTCATACCTTCCCTCTTTAAAGTTAACAGTTTCGTTAACGTGATTCAATGCGGCAATTTCCATTTCCTTTCTACATTTTGTTTCAACAGGATCTCGAATTCCCAATAAATCTAATTTCCACAAATTTTCAATCTTCGATGTGTGAATTAATAAAGAAGTCACTGTGGCGGCATTAGTCCCATTTTCTTTATTGTCGATATGATCAGACAATTTTCCCATTAAAATCCAACCCATTTTGGTTTCCATTGTAACTAATGTTGAGTTCAAATGTTCAATTTTGTTTTTACTAATTTCCAAAGCTCCAATAAGTAAGTACAAGATTCGTGATCAACATCCGCTAAAAATTTTTCCCTATCTTTAACAACTCCTTAATATTTTGCGGAGGATAGTCTAGCTCAGCATTCGATATTTCATCAGTCTCTAAAACCTGAATAATTAATTCCTGGTTATCGAAAATGTTTTTTATTTTTACTTCTACTCGCGCAATGTTCTGTTTGGTAGGCATTTGAGATCCGAAAGTATGAATCATTATTTCTTCCCACGACTTTTAATCCCAGTTGTTTAGACAGACGTTTCTGAATATACGAGCATTGACTAGCGCTGTCAAATAAACAATGAACTAATTTATTGCGTGACCTACGTTTAAGTTCTACTGTCGCCGTCTGTAAAAATATTTTATTCCTACCGATGCAAATGTGCACGCTGAATTTTCTACACTTTTTTGATTGCGATGCTTCGGGTTTTTCTCTTTTTGTAACAAAAGGGTTGCATTATGTTTTTTGTGGCAGTATACACAAGAGTTCTCAGAACAATCAGAAAATCGATGACCTTGAGCCAGACAAACATAACAACGACCTTCTAATTGCAATACATTTTGTTTTTCATTTACACTCATATTACACTTTTCATTATTATGTGTGTTATATTTGAAAAAAATACAGTTTTCTTCTTTTACAGGAGCTAATAATTCTGCTGCCGACAAGGGGTTGACTTTAGAGTTAAACTTATTGTTTGTGTATTTATAATTACTTTTGTGCTTGTCAAAGTGTTTATTCTTTCCGTTCAATGGAACGAATTTCGGTTCCGGTTTGTTAACTGCGTACGTTTGTTCGCGGCATTCAATTTCGTTTACCAAAAAAGCAATTAAACCTGCAACATCAGATTCTTCTTTTGGATCATGCTTTCGGTGATATTCAAGAATCAAATCATGAGGTAATAATTTTAATAATATCGGATTTAACAAGTGTCTGTATGAACCTGAAGTTACTCCTAAATTACTTAAGCTTCGAATGTTTATTTCACAAGCGTCGTGTAATCTTCTTAGTGCATTTAAGTTAGAAGAATTTTTAACTGGTTCTATGTCCAAAAGATTATTCATATGTGATTTTATAATTTCCTCTGGTTTTCCAAAGCATTCTTTTAAAAGTTCTAAGCAAGAATCGTAACTGTGTTCGGTTAATTGAAATCCTTCAACGACATTATATGCTTGTCCTATCAATAATGATTTCAAGTATACGAATTTTTCAATCTTGGTTAACGCTTTGTTCTGATCAATCCCAGCTTGAAAACTGTTAAAAAATTCTAGCCATTTTCCTGCATCTCCTGAGAATTTTGGAATATTTAACTTTGGAATATTTCCTGAGAACCTAATATATTTGGAATATTTCCTAATTTTGGAATATTTCCTGAGAACTTTGGAATACTTAACTGGCAATTTCATAGCCGATGACGACACATTTATTTCAGAAACAGAAGTGTTCAAAGAATTTGCATCTGATACATTTTTCACAGACAAATTTTCATTACATTTATTTAATCTTATTTTAATTCTAAACTTTGCAGACATAATTTGTTCATTGTATTTATCACTTGCAGTAGTATCTTTTTCAAATTCTCTAGCATCTTTTAACTGAGTTTCGATTTGTGAATTCGACATTTTCAACGTGTTTTCTCTTTCAAGAACTGTTTCATTCATCTCCTGCAATTCCTCAGTGTTTGTGTTTTCGATATTTTCTGATAACAAAGCTTCTATTTTTGTAATTAATTTTATAACGCTACAGCGTTCATTCGTACGTTTCTGCTTCAGTTTGTCTAAAGCTTCCATAATTCTATCAAGAGAAAAAGACTGAGCGACCGCTCTCTTCCAAGTTCGTTTTCTGACTCCCCGTTGCCACTGGCTGAAGAGAAACTTTCGCTCTTTTCGCGTTTGAGTTGTAACAGTAGTATTGAAGTAAAATATGTGCCTGTGCTGCTGCTTCAGTGAAGTCAATATTACAGTGTTGTGAAAAATAATTCAAAAACAGTTTTTTTTTTTTTTTTTTTTTTTTTTTTTTTTTTTTTTTTTTTTAATTTTTAGTTGTGTAAGTATATCAGCCCATGAACAATATGGATTTAATTGAAAAGTACCCAAATAACTACAGCAAATTTAGAAATAGATATGTAAATAATCATTTATGCTGAGAACTATAGCATTTTTTTCAATATATTATTGCTTAAATATTTGGTATCTGTGTATTATCGCAACTACTTCAGTCGGAAGTTGTCAAATTTTTAAAATGTGCCAAACTTTGGCAACCATGCCATATAAACCTTTTTCAAGCAACTATACTCATAACAGTCCTTCAGTCAAGCACAACATTACCATTTTTATATACATTCTTTCTGTTGTATTCCATGTTCCAATGGTATTTATAAACAAGTTGGGATACTTTTTGCTTTCAATTCTGTTTTAAATACCACTTGTGGAATTTGCCAGAATCTGGAATAAATTGCAGTAGAAGTTTAGTAGGAATATTATATTTTGCTGCAAAACTGCTAAAGGGAAAATAATGAGATCAGTTGGTAGATAACCAGTGCATAATATCAAGTCTATACAATTCTCTGATGTTGAGAAGGACTTTGCAAAAAAAGTTTTTTTTTAGATGTATCACAGAATCCTTATATTATATAATTAAAATTTGATTTTAATTTTTAAAACTTTTTAGTGGTTATTTTTTATTAATTATTATTTATGTGTATATGCTAATAATGTTTGCCTACTGACATTAAATGTCAGTCGTTTGGGAATGTTTAAAAACAAAATCTCAAAAATTGCAACTTGCACCTGAGAAGTAATGTTTGCCTTTTCATCTGCAAAAGACTGCCAAATTCTGCTATCATTAAGGTATAAGTACCCAAGTATTTAATTTAGATCTTAAAGAAAATCTTGCAGTACAAAAAAATATATATATAAATTTTTTCTGTGAAATATACTAAATGCAAAATATAAAAATTGTATTTTTTCTCTGTGTATCTGGTAACATATATCTTTAAAGATTAATTTTGATAAAATAATTATGAAAATTTGCTAGAAAAGTATACTTTGTTTGAAAACTTGTTTGATTTATAAAACTTTATAAATTTATTTTAAACTTCTCATTTATTTAGGAACAAATCATAGTAAAATTTTAGTTTTCATTTATTCCAAGCTTTTTATTTTACAGCATTCATGTTATAAACTAGTATTAAATTGGGGATTTTAGAATTATTTTGTATCATTTCAGGTATACATTGTAACTCGCTTTGTCAGGAATATCATCTTCAAAATTATCTTAAATTTTATTTTAGTTTAATTTTTTCCATCAGACTTAAAGAATTGGTACTTACATATTATCTTGTTGACCATGAAACTGTCACCAAATAGAGCAATATAGTACCAGTTATTGATAAGCATATTGTCACAACACACTCATAACATCTGCACTTTCATTAATGTAAACCTGACTAATTTTTGATAAGTTTTGTTTTTGTAACAAGTATATAAATAAACTTTTATTGCTGTATTTTTTCCTTCTATTTTGAAAAGAAAAATTCAAATTTGTTACTTGCCTTTGCCGGAATGCAAGCATTGGATTATTTTGTTATTGAATCTTATCATCAGAAAAAGTGTGTGCTAAGAGACACTACATGATCAGCTGAAAATGGCCAACAAAACAGTAATAGATTGGAATAATTACTTGCAAGAATTTTGTACCATAGTATTCTAAATGGAGCTTCTAGTTAAACTGGAGGCCCTAAATAAAATAATAGAAATCGACAAAAGTTTTCTTATGAAGCAGATCAAGTACTCGTTGTATACTGAATAAAATGAGGTCAAATCCATCAAAATTCCACAGAAATGATTGGCACAACTTTAGCAGCATATTACCCAACTTTCACAGCTGATGGAATAATACATAAATACCAAAAATGTATTTTTATTTACGCAACATAAGTAATAATAATAATTATTTTTTTTTTTTTACTTCTTTCAGTCATCCAAGAAAAAAGTTTATATGTTGTTTGGACTTGAACCCAGCCATGCTGTAACGGGAGGAGTATTTTATAGTGGACAAGAATTTGAATCTGAGTTTGTCGATGTCCTTGGTGATCAATGTTATCGTTACTTGATGGAAGCTGTAAGTTAAATTGTCAAGCTTTTTTTTTTTTTTTTTTAAATTTAAGAATGTCAAAATAATTAAATAAAATTTGTAAATGTATTGTGATAATATATTTACAATTTTTGTTTTTATGCTATAAATTTGTGCTTTAAAATTCTAGTAGTTATATTTATGTTGTTTTGAACTGCTAAACACCAAGTTATGAATGTCTCTTTTGATTTCAGTTTGAAATAATTAATTTAGTATAATATGTGAAAGTTATGAGTAATTAAAATTAGTTATTAGAGGTGCAGCATTTTTCATGCCTTAGGCATCGTACATTGCGCTATTAAATTAACATATTATAAATGAAATATTTGTTAGTTGTCACCGTAAAACATTTAGCTGCTGCTTTTTGGAGACAGGGTTTGTACGGTCCTTAAAAGTCCTTAATTTTTTCAAAAATGATTTTTGGTCCTTAAAAGTCCTTAATTTTGCTCATTTGACATTTCTTATCATTTCTAATGATTGCCATTCTAAGTGTGAATTGCGATTTCTCATGAATATGGAATTAAAATTACACAGCTCTTAACCAATCTGTTGGCGGATTTGCGTTGCAAACGATTAAAAAAAAAAAAAAAAAAAAAAAAACAATTAGCTACCCGAACGAAAGTATCGGTGTCTGATTTCGAAACAGGTGTTATCCATAAATTTAGGCAGACTGTGACGAAAGCGTGAAGCTGGAAGTTCTTTAAGAGGCGAAAGTGATGATGAAGGTGCTCGAGAAAAAAAAAAAAAGGGGGGGGGGGGATTCTGAAAATATTTGCCAAAATTAGAGCAATCCCAACCTGGAAGGCCACAACCCTTCCGACGCCAATAGGAACGAGATGCCTGGAAAGTGCATTTTCAATAAACTGTGGCTTCATCAAGCTGACTACAAAGACTGGATATTGATGGATGGCAATCCTTAAAAGCTAAATGTGGTCTTTGAAACAAATTGAAATTTCTAGAATGGGAGAGTCAGCGCTGAAAATTCACATGAAAATTAAGTTTCGTTTTATCATTTCAATTTGTTTTTACACGGTTTTGCTTAGCTTAATTTCTGTGTTTGTTTCAATTAAGCCATAAATTAATTTTTTATCACCTTCTACGGAGTTTATTCTCTTTTGCACATACTATATGTATGGGATATCGGGATTATGAGTTTATTTCTGCAGAGGGTCTGTTATCGATTTCGCGGGAAATCTGTTGGCTCCATTTCGATTTTAGGTCGCCAAGGGCAAAATTCGGTAACGCTAGCCGAGAAAAAGAAAAAGTGAAGTTCGGAAATACGTTTTGAAGCTTCAATAGACAATTAAGTATTTGGTTTAAAACCTATGTTTTTGATAGTAATGCATAATTTTTGCTAATGGCGATACAATTATTAGTTGAAAATAACTAATTAAAATTTTTTAAAATATTTTAAAGCTGAAAACAACTAATTGAAACTAATTTTCCTGAATTAACTAGACGCAAAATTAACTTTCATGAATTACTAAAGTTATTGGGTAGAAGTTTAACTGAAAATATACATTCCGTATTATATATATATATATATATATATATTATACAGTACAAAGTCCGAGGTCTGGACTCGTCGGGACTTCGGCGATCCTAGATTTGAGATTTTTCCGGATATTAGATCATTTTAAATCTACTAAGATGGCACGTAGAAATTATAAAATTGAAAATATGAAATCGTGATTTATGAAATAATGAAGCATTTATGATTTAAAGGGTATCAAAATTTACAAAAGAAAAGAGCTTAATATTTATATGTTTACTTTATTAAACATTTCTTTCAATGTGAGTTGTTTGATTTGTTTTCTCTGCTAATACTTTAGACTAATACTATAGACATATAATTTCTTGTTCAGTTATTAAGTTCCATTGTTCAAGTCCTGTAATTGCTGTGTCGAGAATTCCGAATAACTTGTCAATCAAAATTTTTTCTCGTTCAGTAACCTCTCTGTTACTTTCTTCACTATCGGTAGCTGTATTTTCTGGATTTAGAACCATACTACAGATTTCGCCCTCCGTTAATTGATTGATGATTGGGGCATTGTCATTGCAATGAAAAACTTCTGTTTAACTTCGCTAAATTCTGCCGCCTGGTGCGGCCATGCGAGCTCTGGAGCTGGTTCTGGCTTTATGTGAATAACAAATCAGTTATTCTTAATTCAAATAGCACTAAATATAATCGTTTGTCCTATGAGTATCATTAACAAAATCTATTTTTAGCATAAGGAAAGAAATTTCTGCTAAATCTCCCCTTGTCAACATTTTAGCGCATTAAAACTTAAATCTGTAATCGGATAATACTCTGTTATTTGGCATCGCTGCATGATTCATCACTCAAGTTGTCATCCGTTGATAAACATGCGGTGATGAAAGCAAAATACAATAAATAATGATTCGCGATTTCGGCATCAAGGATATAAAATATTAGTTGGTGTAAAATTAACAAATGTTTCGGTTTGAGATTATGCCAAGCAGATACGCAGCTATGGAGTCAATTTACTAATCACACAAATTTATGCAAAAATAATATTTCTTAAAAATTAAATTTTTTAAAATATTAAATATTATTGATAAACCAATTCTAAGATAAAAATTTAAATGATTGCCTGCACTTTAAAATTTTGAAACTAGATATTCAAAAATCTAAAGCAGAAAATCTTTATAAATTTAATTTTAATGATCCAAATTGTTATAATGATAAAAGTAAAGTTTATTTGGATTCATTTTGCTGAGCAGTTAATGAATGATAAATGCCGCAGAAGGACATTTCACAAGCTGAAAGTTTTGCATTGAAACCAAGGTCAACAGTGTGTCATAACAATAGTACAACACTTAATGTCTAAATGTCCAATAAATTATTCTCTTATTCGAAATGCATCTTGTATAGACCCGCGATTGATGGTTAAAAGTCCAGAAAAAGCCCAGAACAAAATGAAAGTAGTTCTAATGGTATTAATGCAGAATAAAATGTTTTACAAGATGATTAAATTCTGCTAGTTTGGAGATAATTAAGACAAATTTACATGAATTTTCTTACTTTTGATCCTCAAAATCTTCTTGACAATTTCTACTTCTTATTTTCCTGATTTTCACTATTCAAAAGTATTCAAAATGTGAAAATGATTCTTATCTTGTCACATGAACAGGCCTCTGTGGAAAGGGGCTTCTCTGTAAATAAAGCAATTGAAATTGAAAATTTAAGTGACTCATCATACATTTTTCAACGCACAGTATTTGATTACATAAAATTTTCTGGAGGTGTTCTTAATATCGAAATTAATAAAGAAATGAGATCAGCAGCAGCAGCTTCTTAGCAAGAAGAACAAAAATCTTTAACTAAATCTGAAAATTCAAAGAGGAAAAAGAAATATTATTGAGGAAGAAGAAATTGATTATATGAAGCAGAAGAAAAAATTTCTTCAAAGGGACATTAAAGACATTAATGAAGAAGTAGATGCTTTAGCAGATGAAGCTGAGACCAGCAGGAACATTGATTTGTTTATCAAAGCAAATGAACTTAGAAGAATAGTTAAAGAAAAGGAAATAGACATAAATAAATTAGATGTTAAAATAGCTGAAAGATTTCAGATTTAAAAAAAAGCACAAATGTTTTGTATCTTTTATTGTACAGTTTATTATTCTAGTATCTTTCAAAAAACCAAGGAAATAAATTGTATGTTTACAAATCAGTTATTTTAATCTGCAAAATATTCTTACATTGTGATTATAATAGTAGTTGACTGTGTTTAAATAAATATCAAATAAGTTAAATAATAATCATGTAAATCTCTAAAATAGTGACTGTTATTAGTGTAAAATACACTTATACATGTTTTTAAAGAAATTATGTTCCTAATTTAATGTTATCTACTTCATAACTTGTAGGGAGTTAGTTTAATTTTCAAAATTGTTTTATGGTAAGTATTAAAGTGAATTTAATTAATAGTGCATAATACACACTTCTGTTAGTTTCTTAAAGTGAAATTACAAGCATGAAGTCGGTTGTATGGATAATTGCTTTATTCAAATTGTTTTTTTGTTTGCTGATAGGTCCTTAATTTTTTCTTTGATGGTCCTTAAAAGTCCTTAATTTTCATGTAAGGAAATGTGTACGAACCCTGTGAAGATCAACACACTAGGTGGTTGCTTATGTCATCGTGTGAGGAAAGGGCTCTGAGTAATACTTGTTATTACACCTTAGATTCTGCTGTTTTTGCAGTCCCATATGGAGCTCTTTAAATTGTTCGAATCTGTGTGGTAACTGTAGATCTGTGGGATGCAAAAGAAAGTATTTTCTGAACTATGTGAGGTCGTTAGCTATTCTGTGTCAGTGCTTGTGCACACATCACTGCTGACAACACACTTTATATTTAAGATCTGTATCTGTGAAGAACAAAATCTATGGAAATACTGCACTGCACCTTTTATCGTATGTAATGCCATTGATAATGTCGTCATAATTTGTTGGTTTGTAAATGTTAACTTGAAACATATGTAGTGTTATATTTATGTTCTAGCTCTTTGCATTTGGAATCCCACAAACTCCACTCTCTATTACTTGACGACGAACACTTTTTCCTAATCACTAAAATCTGGTGGTCAAGCATAATGTTAGTATAATGTCAAGTAATGTAGTGGTTTGTTTAATTTATAAAATTACCTATACAGTGAAAACAATATAAGCACATTTTTTAGTTACTACATTATGGTAATTACAGTACATATTTATGTATATCGTAGCAAAAATTATTCCACTGAGCACATTTTGGCTCAGTGGGTAAGACATCGGATTCGGAAACCGAAGGTCCCGAGTTCTAAGCCTGTCAAGGCACTTTTAGATTCAACCAACTTTTAGATTACTTGTCAAGGCAAGTAATCTAAAAGTTGTTTTTTTTTTTTTTTTTTTTTTTTGTTAAAAATTTCCTTCTTGTTAATTTATTTCCCTTATGTTCCATTTATTGGAGAATGTTCTTCATATTCTAGAATTTTCCAACTGTTTAATAAAGTGTATAGATATATGAAACTTATTAATTTCAAATTAATAAAGTTTTGACTTGAGACTTAGGTCATTTTTAACAGAAACAATCCATCTCACTGGGAATGTACCCTGAAGTCTAGTTCCCATTGGCTTTGCCAGAAAGATTTCCTTACAACATTGGCCAGATGAACAGCCCATTTAAAGTAATCAACGTCATTCAAAAAACCAATTTGAACTTAAATATATACATATTTAGGCTTAAATCGATTTTTATTTCGGTTTAAAATATATATATTTTTAGTCCAAAGGGGCTTTGCCCCTGAGGGACTATTGTTTTCGTTTTGTGTGGAATCACTCTGAATGTCTGTTTCACTTTTCAAACTGTCGCGACCAAATATTATCCCCCTGTATTATATTTGAAGAAATTAAATAATGAAGAATCTGCATAAATGTATGTATGTTTCTCACACTGTGATAAAACAACAGTTCCTAGAACCATCCAATTTTGAATGACATAATCTTACTGCAAATATGGGCATCTGGAAGCCAAAATTTGAAATTCGTTTTATTTCCGATTTCATATTTTGTAAAACTTCAACGAATTTTTGATTAACAAACTGAAGGATTTAAAAGGGAGCAATGGCAGTGTTGTGCAGAAAAAAAAATTTTTTCTCCAGCGCATGAGACTGTGTATCGGAAATTCTAAAGATATGCTCAATTTAAAATTATTTTGCAATACTATTGTTCTTGAACTGAATTTTATGGTCTAAGTGTGAAGAACATGATATTTAATAAATAAATGTAACACACAAAATTTAAAAAAAAAAAAAAATCTCCTTTAGACATAATTTAAAATCTGAAAACTGTCTTTTTTTTTTTTTTTTTTTTTTTTTTTTTTTACATTTTTATCTAATATTTTTAAAGGCCCTCATTGTCAGCTATCAAAAACAACTTTTCTTTTCTTGACATGTTGATTAGAAGTGTGAATATACCAGTTTTTCAGAGAGACAATGGAAGTTATTGTCTGACACACCAGAAGTCAAAATTTATGGGAAAATTAAAGATGCAATTTCATCCCTTTTTATATTATTTTTAACTAAATAATTTTAGGCATTTTAGTATGTCTGGAGAATCTGGTAAAGTATTTTTATATAATCCATTTTCTCATTTTCATTTGGCAATGCCAGTAGTTCTATATATACAAGATGTATTCAGAAACTAAGTACCGTTTTGAAAAGAAAAAAAAAATAGTAAAACAATTTTTTTTGAATCCAATTTTATTTTTACATGAAAATACATGTCTTAAACTATTTTTCAACATAGTTTCTGCCAATGATCAAACACTTGTCATAGCGCGTGACCAGTTTTTGTATACCATCGTCAAAGAAACTTCCCGCCAGTTTCGATAACCACGACTCCACAGCATTTTTCGTGTCATCGTCAGATCCAAAGCGCTTGCCACCAAGCTCGCGCTTCATGTGCAGGAAACAAGTGATAGTCGGACGCCGCCAAGTCCAGGCTGTACGGCGGGTGTGATCGAACTGCTCCCAATGAAACTGTCGAATTAATAACGATTGAGTGACACCAGCAGTATGGGGCCGAGCATTGTCATGGAGCAACACAATTCCTTTACTGAGCATTCCTCTTCGTTTGTTTTGAATGGCACACCTTAGTTCTGTTAAAGTCTCACAATATCGTGCCGCATTAATGGTTTCATCTCTGGGAAGAAATTCAGTAAGCAAAACGCCTTTCCTATCTTAGAAGACAGTGCACATGATTTTTTGTGATGACATTGTCACTTTGAACTTTATTTTTTTTTGGAGAATAAGTGTGTCTCCACTCCATCGATTGTTGTTTCGATTCTGGTGTGAAATGACACACCCAAGTTTCATCACCTGTCACAATTTGGTTTAAAAAGTTTTCTCCCTCATCACTGTACCGCGTGAGAAATGTCAGGGCACTGCCAAGTCGCTTTGTTTTGTGAACATCAGTGAGCATTTTTGGAACTCATCGGGAACACAGTTTGCAATAATTCAAGCAGTCAGAGACAATTTCAAACAAAACAGTACGTGAAATTTGTGGAAATGCGTCTGAAAGAGTTGTCATTGTGAAGCGTCTGTTCTCATGAATTGCTTCAACTTTCCTTACCAAATCATCGGTGACAACAGAAGGTCGACCACTCCAAGCCTCGGTGTGGACATTTGTTCGACCTGCATTAAACATTCTTACCCACTTTCTCACCATTCCATCACTTATTGCGTATTCACTGTAAACTTCTATCACTTGACGGTAAATTTCGGCTGGTTTAACATTTCTCGCATTCAAAAATTTAATCACGGCACGAATCTCACAGTCAGTGGGAGAACTAATTGTCTTAAACATTTTGAATATGCACAGCAAACTGAAAACACAACATAGAGCAACCAAAATGGCGACAATTAAAAGTCAGTGAATGAGAAAGACTAGTACGCATGCGCGGGACGCCTACCACAGCGCTGCAATGGCACTAGAATGAAACGGTACTTAGTTTCCGAATACACTACGTATGTTATGTAATCTTAATCTGAAAACTTAAAGTTTGATTTTTATTAATTATTTTTTTTAATTACTTATATTGACAGCAACCATAATAACTGTAGAAATTCCTTGTAGAATCACTTGAAATTTTGTATGCAGAGTTTGTACATTGTTATACATGATGAGTAGGAGTTAGATTACAGAATTTAAATTATTTCATTTTTTCTTCAGTAGTATATGTTATTTATTTTTTTTTAATGTGTTGACTAACATATTTGACCATATATTACTAGTGAGTAAATATTTTCTCTGATTGCCATCCTGCTTATTACCAGCTAGAACATCTGATTACTCTTTTATATAAAATGTTGTGTGAATCTTGAGGCATTGATTACTATACACAGTTATACACGAGTCATCAAAATTAAAGGAAAATGGCAAAAATAAAGCATAACTGATACTTCATGAAAAATTATGAATAGAAATTTGTACAAAAGCATTAGTTAACATAAATTACAATGCTTGGCAGTTGATTATTCAAAAACTATTCAAATTAAAACCAAATTTATGGAAAAATGTAGTCACTTCTTGTGGAAAACATTTTTCTTTAATGTGGTGTATGGTCACCTAAGACAAATATGCTTACCTCACATTTTGATTTCAAAAACAAAATGTTAATCAGGTCTTGTGGAATTGCATGCCACTTTTCTAAAAGTGCACTCTTCAATGCCATAAGGCATTCCACACATACTTAATTGGGTTCAAGTCGAGTGAGGAAGGTGGCCAATCTATTCAAATTATAACTTCTGTTTGCAAGTATTCTGACACCACATATACCCAATGAGGCCAAGTATTGTCATCTATTAGCAAAAACTCTGGTCCAACTGCACCCCTAAACAGTCTATATCTCTGAGTTGTTACAGAATCTCCTTGTAAGATATGCAGCTTGGTGTGGCCATTTGTCATGATTCCTTCCCAAAGCTTTAAACCACAGTCACAGAAATGGGGTATTTCATGGACAAGGAAACCTCGTTATATGTTTCTTCCTTTCTCCAGATCAAAACACATGTAGAATCACTGTTCAGACTATATCTGGACTCGTCAGTAAACAGTACTAGTCTTGACCATACAGGCTCTGTCATCTTCCCACCTTTGAATGCAACGATGGCATCAATTAAACAAGCTCCTCTAGAAGCTGGAGTGAGTGGGACAGAAACCATTGTTTTTTCTCAAATATAATCCAACCTCATTAAGCCTTCATGGAGGAGTAGAATGGTTAATTGAAGTTCGTTTGGCAGCCTGAAGGTCTAAAACCAAATCTCTTGTAGTTCTTTTGCAGTTGAGCCAACAACAACAGAGAACAGTCTTCTGATGCAGTTGTTGCTCTTGGTTGCCTTTGACAGGGCTGTCTATCAGCTGATCCAGTGCTTAAACAGAAGCTGCAAACTCTTGATATGACACTTCGAGGGATATTCAAATCTTGGGCGTGACCTCCATTGATTCTACCAATTATTCTCCACATTTGACCTTAACTTCATTTGATGCCTTTAAACCATAACTATTAAATACTGATCACTTTGAGACCACATTCACTTTAAATAACATTAAAATGTGGAATTCCAACATGCATCTGTTGTGCAGTACATTGTGAATCACTAAAATGTTCATATTTCCAGTGCTAACATATATGCAGAAGTGCAGCTTTGTGTTCATTTCTGTTTAATTAACATAAACAATTACAGCATTGGACATTGGTTGCAGTATTACCTTTGTGAGCATATTTTTTCTCATTATCCTTTAATTCTGATGACCAGTGTATTTATGTACAAGGTTTGTTTATTTAAGTTTCATACATTAGGTTCTTGTGTAATACTTTTGAAAAATTTTCATTTTAGAAAAAGGTAAAATATTTAGGATTATTGCAGATTAATTTTTTCACTGTGTATATGTACAGTGTAAATAAGACATTTTTCATCATACATTAATGTTTTCTTAATCTTCTATAGCTTTAAAAGTTAACTGAATTTTAATGGGATTATGTTTAATTTCAGAAAGGTGCTGCTGATAATCTTCCCGATCCAATATCTAGAAAGAGTGCATCACTAAAGTCATCTAAAGATATATGTAATTATTTAAATGGACTGCAAATCAGTAAGGTAAGTAAAGAAAATTTGCACTAGAATATTCCATTGAAACAATAAAGTATGATTATGATAGTAAATATTTAAGAAACAAATTAAAACTGTTTTGAATACTCTGTAAATGTATTTCTGCTCTTAATTTGTTATTATAAGCTGTTGTTTAATTCATTCATGATTATTCACTGTGGTTAGAATTTTGTCATTGTTTTTTAACCTACTTCCTGCTAAGCTATCGATTTCATTTTTTTTTTTCACACACGGACAGTTATTCATTGACAATGACATGTATTTAAACAGCAGTTGTATAATTACTGACTTTAGTCTCTATTTTCATAAACTTACATTCATTAAGATGATATTTACATTATTAAAAACAGTAAGAAATAAAAATATCTTAAATTATACATTGAGCAAATTAACAACAAATTAATTTATTCAATGTTGCAATTAATTTATTCAGTGTTACAAGAAATGTCGTGAGCAGATACAATCAGTCATGACACTCAGAGGGTTAACAAACAAACTAAACATATATCAGAATTTTGGTGTTTCAACCATGAAATAGAGTGAGAAAAATCTTTTTAGTGAAATTTATATAAAATTTCAAACTTAATTTCTGAATTTTCGGCGAATTTTCAGAAATCGCTCTATTTTTTTTTATTATTATTATTATTATTATTATTATTATTTGACAGCGTGATTTTGACATTTGTACGCATTATAAAATAAACTTTTCTCCCTCTTTTAAAATAAGACTGATAAAAAAGTATTAATTGAGCAATTTTCTACTTTTAGAAAACAAAGTGTGTGGCAGTTTGAAGTAAAATGAGAGAAAAGTTCTTTTTTTTTTTTTTTTTTTTTTTTTTTTTTTAGGAAAAATAAGATTTGAGTTTGTCATCTTGGTATACTTACTGATGAATTTTCCCATGTTGGCACATTTAATGATGAATTGACAATATTCAGTTTTCAATTCATTTCAAGTAAAATGCTCATTATAACATGTATTACATCCAATTTCCAGAACTGAATATTTATAGGAGTTTCGTCATTCTGTGAATGGCATTTAGCTATTTTTCTTTATATCATTATTTGTGTATGTTTTAATAATGAATAAAAATTTCATTATTGATATTGTGTGATTGAGATAAAAAAACAGGAAGTAAAATAAAGTTAAAAAAGGGATTTTATATAATAAAATCTTATTTAAATTGGATATGATAATTAATGTATTAAAAGACGAAAAATAATTTTTCATTTAATTTATTATGAATAATAGATTACAGAATTTATCTACAATTTTATATCATGAATAATAAAAGTGTGGGGTGCTTAAATAATGAAATCTATTAACTTAATTGGATTGTCAAATGTATAAGCTCTTATCTTTTTACCATGTTTTTTTTTTTTTTTTTTTTTTTTTTTTTTTTTACCATGCATCCCCTACCCTTTTTTTAAATTCATATACAAAATTGTAGGTGAATTTTGTCAGTAGAATTATTTAATCTATTATTCCCATTAAACTATGCAATAAAATACTTTTCTTCATTTAGTGCATTGGAACCCATATCCATTTGAAATAAAAATGTATTGTGTAAATCCCAATTTTTTAATAGTATTTAATTAAACTTTCATTACCACTAAAATTTTTATTTTTGTATATATTATGATGTTTTGTTAAATACCATATCCTAATGAACTCTGTAGCACTCATATGATGCTGTTATAATGGATTTGTCATCAGAATAAAATTTGTGACTTTCTAATGACCCACAGGCCCAGCTAAAATTTGTGAACTTGTTGCTAACTTTGAAGAGCATCTGTGAACTCATTAGCAGTTTTTGTATATTATTTTATTTATTTAATGCCTGATAGTCCAGAGGTCTGGATATTGGATGTCCGGATTTTAGGCAGTATATTTTGCCTATGTTATGAGTTACCTATTTTGGAAATGTGTTGTTTTCACCAGGATTTTGTCTATTTCAGATAATCAGAAATTACCTAAAATGTCAAAATGTGGTAGTAATTTCTTCACTGAAGTTAAACATTAGTGATCCTAAAATATTGTTGTCATGCTTTTAATCATGTGTGGATTGCTCCATTCATACTTATGTTCTTCACAACTACTGTATCAATTCTCAAAGGAGAATGTCAAGTTTTAATATGTAAATTGAAGATACTACTTGCACACATGACATGTCTTATCAATGGATTTCAATCAGATGATGTACGAACTAGTTACATAACTAGTCAAACTAAATAGGTTTATTCATAATGTTAGGGCTGCTAAATGCATTGCAGTTTGCAATGTTTATTGTCAAAATTAGAAATCTGTAAACACCCTTAGATCTTTTTTAGTTCTTCAGAAAATTCTGTGAAGAGCATCAGCTAACTGAATTGCTGAAATTGAATTCCAACAAAACTGCAATTAGAAATAAATTTTTGCTTGTTTTTGCTAACTATGAACTTCATTTATTTTCTATTACACTGCATAAAGTATTTTTCTAAAATAAGTTTGTGTACTTTCTGATGATGCGTTATTTATGTAATATATGCTCCCCTAACTCTTTAACATCAGATTCTGGAAGCTTTAAAAATATTCATGTAATTTCCCCCTTTCTCAATATGTTTGTAGAATTAGTTCTCCTGAATTTTAAGATAAATTCATCCATGTAATGATTGTTTTCATCTTACTAACAAAGACAAACCCTCACAGACTAATTTGAAGGTCATGCTGAATCTTTCCCTTCAAACTGTTGAAAGCTATGCCAGGCTAATGTGAGAAACAACTCATGATAATGAAGCAAACATGAACCGACATTTCATTTGTGATTTTGCTGAGTTGGCTGCACATTCCTCTTCTGAATTATTTATGGATGATTGGAGGCCTGAGAAATAGCTGGGAGAATAATAAAAATGGGTAAAGTTCAAGGTACAGGAAAGTAGTAGAAATGAATGAAGATATGGTATTATATATTGCAATGTCAATATTACTATGTATTTTTATTAGTAAGAAGTTTTTTAAGAAATAATATTGTGATAGTTACCTATAGTTTGTCCATGACTACTTTTCATTTTTTGTTTTCTTAATGTATAAAAATAACAATAACAAATAAAATAACAAACAAAAAAAAAAAAAAAAAAATGTACTTCGAAAATTAAATTATTTGCATAATTTTCCTGTCTATTTTAGGACAAAAATATTAGTAAAAAAAACGAACTGCAGTGTTTGTTTATTTTTTTATTTTAAGACTTTTTTTATGTTTTAGGTAAAATTGAGTGTGCAAGATACTGAAAAAATTTTAGAATCTCTTATATACGACGGCAAACTCGAAAAGTCAAAGGCTGTAGGCAGTTCTTCAACGTCTAAAGATAAAGTACCTGAAAATTTCTATAAAGTTACAAAATCTGTAATTTCAAGTACTGGGCTTATGAGAATGCCTTGCGGAGTGTGCCCTGTAAGTTTTTATTTTACTTTTCTACTTGCTACCTTTACATTTTTTTTAATTAGGAACATTGTAAGAATCGAATATAATTTTAAATGCATACCTAATGTGACTTGAATTGATATGCTTTTTCAGTGAAATATGGAAAACCAGAGAAACTGTCAAACTATGAAATTATTGATTTACGGCATGACCAGATTGTGCAAATTTTTTTTTTCTCAGATTTGCTACTTTTGACAAACCTGTGCTACTAAAATTTATGTCTATGAAATTTTGCAAATTTTCTACTGCTCTACTTCTTGCACTGCTTTTTGCCATTTTCATTTTTTTAAATTGTACCACAAAATGCTTGAATGTCAATGTAATGTATCTATTAAGTATCAGTGATGTTTTCACATGTTTTATTAATTGTTTTGTTTAATGCTTTGGTTATCTGTTATTGGGATTTCACAGTGTAAGTCAGGTTATAGATGTGTTAACTAGAGTATGAATTGTGAGTAACATGAAAACATTTCAACACCATTTTTTAAAATGCTTAGCATAAAATATCCATGTTTGAGAACTGTCTAGAAAGAATGGAAAAAGACAAGACAAAAGTATATTGAAAGTTGCACATAAAATTGTTTTAATAAGGCACAGTGAAGCATAAACAAAATTTTATTTCTGAGTGTCATGGATGATAGTCTTAAAGAGACTTCACTGTGTTTGTTCTAATATGCAGTACAAAGTCCAATATCTGGATGTCTAATATCTGGATGTCCAATATCCAGAATGATCTATTAAAAATCTGGACCTCAAAGCCACCAACAACCCTTTTTAGTTTTTAAAGAATTTTTTTTTCTATGCTTTATGCATGTGCATATGATTCCCCCCCCCCATAATAAAACGTGGAGAGTTCCAATTTGTAATTTCATTTAAAATTAAAATGCATCTCAAAGCAAAACATTCTATACAGAAACATAGTTGATTTTTCACTACTAACATTTTATATCCCTGGCGCCAATCTGGCGATTCATTATTATGTTTTGCTTTCATCACTGCCTGTTTATGAACACATGGTAATTTGAGTTATGACTAATGCAGTGATGCCTAAATAATTTTTTTATATTAATAATTGAATACCAAAAAGTATGGTAACCTTTTACGATGACATTACGTTTGGCGATGATTACAGATTTAAGTTAAATGTGCTAAGAAATGTTGATGAAGAAAAAATGCTAAAAATAGATTTTGTTAATGATACTTATAGACTAAAAGATAACATTTAATGTTATTTGAATTAAGAATAACTTGTTTGTTATTCACAACCCAGAACCGGCTGTATGGACTGCACTGGGTGGCAGAATTTTGGAAAGACACAGTTTTTGGAATTTAGAGAAGTACTGAGCAGCAAAATTAAGGGACAACAAAATTTTTAGAATTTGGGGAAAGCACTGGGACCCGTGGCAAAAATTTAGAACTCAGGGAGGTGTTTGGTAGCAGAATTCAGTATCCCAAGAGATATTGCATCTGGCAGTAAGATATTTAGCACCGGCTCTTGTTAAGCCTTAAGTACATGAGAAAATGTATTTATTCAAGACTCAGATTTGCCTTTAGCATGTGCAAAAAGTAGATATAAGTATAATAAGTAACTAAATTAATGCGGTTCAGGCTTAACTGCTTCAATGCAAGAAAGAAGCAAAACAAAATTTAGCAGAACTTGGCTTTCATTGCCAATCTCATGATGACCGAGTTACTATAACTAAATAACAATGCTAACATGTCAAAGTACAGCGGACATTATTAAGTTAGGCTAAAATTAAACTTTACTGATTCCAAGGAATTTCAGTTAATATAGCAGATTGGCTTGTTCGTTAACTTTCTGATTTTATCCACTTTATTATTTTTTGCAGGCTATTATTATTACAGCAATTTCATGAAAATTAAAGTTCAAACTTTCTATTATGTCGAAAAGAGTTTTTAATTCTGGAGCTGCAAAAGAGATTACAGAGTGAAAGCATGTTTTGATGTTCTTTAAATAAAAAGTGGAATTGCTACAAAAAATCAATAAAGGTTTATCCGTCTCAAAATTATGCGAGAAGTATGGCATTGGAAAGTATATGACATAAGAAAACAGAAAAAGGAATTTTTTGTGATTCTGACACTCCATTCTCAATGAAAAACAAAAATTATTTCATATGCTGAAAGTAACGATCATGACAAAGTAATAATTGAATGTGTCAAACACCATCACAGCAAAGCCATGCCATTGACAGATGCAGTGCTAATGGCTCAAGTTAAAATATTTCATGAAGAAATGAACTAAAAACTGAGTGCACATATTCGACAGGTTGGTTAAACAAATTTAAAAATCGCCACAGTAAATTCAGATAAACATTTTGGGTGAAAACACTTCAGCTTATTTTGAAGCTGCCCAACTACTTGCAGATGAATTCATTGAACTCATTAATAGTGAAAAGTTATCCACAGAACAAATTTACAATGCTGATGAAACTGGAATTTTCTGGCAATATGTACCACAAAATACTTTGGCAACTTCTGCAGAAAAGGCTCCAACTGGTGTCAAAAGTTTCAAAGCAAAACTAACAATTCTAGCATGCACAAATGCTGCAGGAACACACACACAAGTGTAAACTTTTTGTAATAAAGAAAATACATAATCTTGAGCACTTAAAGGAGTAAAGAATTTCCCCATTATATATAGTGAAAATAAAACAGAATGCATGGCACGAACAATAATGAATGATTGGTTTGAACATAATTTTATGCCCGAGTCTCAGCAACGTTTGAATTTGTTTCGTTTACCTGATAGTGGAAAAATTGTCCTGACAACTCTTCAGCTCATACTTCACTTCAAATTTTAATGAAAGGTAATATATATGTATTATTGTTATGCTCCACACTGTATGTTCATCATTCAGCCTATAGATATCATAATAGTGCACGCACTGAAATGCAAATATAAAGTAGCATTTTTAAAATCCATATTAAATTTCTTGAATAGTATCAAGACTGTTTAAGGTTTTTTGAAATATTTTAGCATAAAATCTGCTGTGTGGAGCATTGCAAGATCATGGTGAGGATGAAGATGATAGCGAATTTGAAGGTTTTCAGATATTGCAAACCAAAGGTGAAATTTTTCAATTAATGGAGTTTGTAAAGAAATGTGGAGAAGCAGTAATAAAAGAAGAGGATATAACAGAAGTTTTTCATTGTGATGCCAATGCCCCAATCATCAATCAATTAACGGACGTCAAAATTTGTAGTATGGTTCTAGATCCAGAAAATGCTGCTACCGATAGTGAAGAAAGTGAAAGAGAGGTTATTGAAAGTGAAAAAACTTTGGTTGATAAGTTAGTCTGAATTCTCGACACAGCAATTACAGGACTTGAACAAAATTTTTAACTGAAAAAGAAATTATGTCTGTCTATAGAATTAAAGAGAAAGTATTAACATAAAAATCGAAGGAACTTAAACAACTTCCATTGAAAGAAATGTTCAATAAAGTAAACAAATAAATATTAAGCCTTTCTCCCCCCCTTTTTTTTTGTAAATTTTGAAACCCTTTAAATCATAAATGCTTAATTATTTCATAAATTGTGGTTTCACAGTTTTAATTTTTTAATGCATTCTTACTAGATTTAAACTGATGATCTAATATCCAGTAAATCCTCAATCCAGAATCGCCGAAGTCCCGATGAGTCCGGATCTCAGATTTTATACTGTATTTTATTTTAAATACCTCTTGATTAATTTTAAAATGAAAGATCTTTAAAATGATATATACTGTCCAAACATATTCAGAAGAGGAGACATAAATATTTGTTCATAATTGAAATGACTGTTTAATTGTAAAAATAAAATACTCTTTTACTGAATTAAAAAAAAAAATAACTGCTAATTCAAAAGGAAGTGAGCAGCAATGTTCACAGTCCAAACATAATAGCAAACCTAAATTTAACTGAGAATTAATTAAAAGGAGAAATGGAGATTCAAACAATGTAAATTTAGCTATCTGGTTTTAAAATTTTCATCAAAATTAATATATGTAATAAAACAATGAAGAATTGAATAGTGCATATCTTATAGAACCGACAGAGACTGAATTTTTTATGATGTCAGACTTCATGTGAACATTACTTATGATGTGATGAAAATCACATGCTCTCTGACCCATCAAATGCTACACTTTGCTACTTTAATTTTTCTAAAAATTTCTGGCAATATTGCCCATATATGGGCAATAGATTTTTAAATAAATGTTTTTAAAAGGTTGTAATTTAAAATATTTTATACGCTTATAAGAAGAGTGAGTAAAAAGTTTATTATTATTGTTTAGTAAATTAAGCATATGAGGCTATTTACATGAAGGGAAATACTTTTTTTGATAAGGGGAACTAGTTTGGAAATACCGCATAGTTCTCGTATGATTATCTATATAATCTCTCAGTTGCTGGAAAGCAAACATTTGACATGTTAGCATTATTTTTCAGTTTTAGTAACTCGGTCACTGATGAGATAGATTTTTTTCTCTTTTAAATGAACCCGGTTATCTTGTATTCCACTAACCGAAAAGTTCAAGCAACCAACCAGATTTAGAATTTTAGAAATTTGTCCCCTGTCTAAAAAATTTAAGTAAATGAGAGACTTGTAAATTATTGTAAAGCATGCACTGCAGTGCAGGATTTATGTATAAGCTGAACAAGCTTTAGCTTAGGGTCCCCACTTTCTTGGGTCCCCTCCCCCAAAAAATTTAGCATATTCCATATAAAAAAAATGACTTATATTCCTCATAAAGGGTCCCATGTCTCAAATAGCTTAGGATCTCATTGAATCTAAATCCGGTCCTGATGCACTGTTGGCAAAAAGTGTGATATACCTCCAATAATGGGTAAGCATGATTTCACAATGCAGTCATAAAATCTCTGCTTTGATGTAAACTCATCTAGTTCCTGGCAAGCCAGCTTAGATTTTCAAAAGAAGGAGATCAGTTAATTGCTATTTAACTCGCG